TAAAAAAATATATATATATATATATATATATATATAAAACATTTTTCTTTAGTTTAAGTACTAAAACTCAATAAACTAAAACTATAAACTATATAAAGATAATTGATATTAACTAAAACTTAAATATTCAAATAATAAAATATTTAAAATGAAAACATAAAAATAAAATCTAATTGAAAATATTAACAAAAACTGTAATAGTTATCAATGATATTAAAATGTCTAGTAATGTACATCCACAAACACACATCCTGTTTCCTCGAAGAGTTTTCTAGGAAAATGTTCCCATTAATTTCCACCCAAGAGCTACTTGTGACACAGTAATATTTGCAGAAACTGAGGTCAAGTATGATGAAGTACTCACCCCTTTCCTACTACATTACAATTATAGTCATTTTAAAGGATGTGCAAAGTCATATTTTAGTGTCCGTCATGTAAATACATTCAAATTGTCCACTAAAATCCCATTTGTCTTTTTATGTCACACTAAAACATCCTTAAGTCACCTAAAGCCCTCATCAATCCCACTCCTGTCAGTCATCAGCACAGAAGACAAAGCACTGCACCTGATGCTGGTCCCATTAAACATTTCACTCTGTTTTAGTATGTCAAATTTGTACTCACCCTTTTGTTTAGGATGTTCTAGTGTACCCTGCCTGGGGTTGTTTGGTCCCCAAAGTCCAAAATCCCCAAAGAAATCGGATGTTTGAGTCTGTGTAATGATGCTGTTTCCCAACAGTTTCAGTCAAATGTCTGAAAGAAGAAAAGCACTGAAGGTTTGATCCAAAGTATCGGAGGAATATTCCTGTGACTTTCTCTGTTTCTGTATCCCATCAGTCAATCCCACATCTGCTGTGGAATGTCAGGGAGGAATGGTTGAGAGAGCCACATACACACATGTACAGGGACTGGATATGAACTTTGCTGTAGTGCTGGGGGAAAGGGAGGGTGCTTTGACTTCATACTGACACAGATTTGGTCACTGTGTATCTGTGTGTGTTTGCTGGACTGAGAGAGAGAGAGAGAGAGAGGGTGGGGAGTATTTGGAGTGGCAGCGTGCACTGATTAAGTCATCCGACGCCCCCTTCTCCTGGTCCCCCTCTTTTCCTCCTGCCCACCCCCTGCATCCAACTCTTTCTTCTCTCTCAGCTTCTCTTCCAGCTCATTCTTTTTTCTTTCCTTCCTGTCTTCTCTTCACTCTCTGTTCCATTTCTTGCTGTACTCCCTTTTCTCTCTCTAACAAAACTTTCATAAACTAGAACATCTCAACATGTTTAAATCTATACATGATACAAACATATTCATATGAATCCAGCTAATCTGTATTCCATTTGTCTGACCTGCTTATTGTAAATGTTCTTGAATGCACACTCAAGGCCACTATTCTAACAAGAAATGCACACGTGCTCACAATTTCATGGTCATGATTCTGGGGTGTATTATATATTGTTTTAGGGAGTTGATAGATGGCTCTCTTTTAGCACAAATATGAAGAGGTTACAAACAGATGTTTGATACTTTGGGTTAGGGGTTTGTTCAAATACCTAACCTGGAATTGTAAAAAAAATAATAATAATAATAAAAAAATGATGTATTATATTATAAATTATTGAGAGAGACAGTAATGCAAGGGTAATGCACATGACACCAGTGTTCATATCAACTGGGCCTACAATTATTAGAAATTGTTTTCGTTAATTGAAATAAAGCTGAACTAATATAAAATATGAATATTAGATGCAAGCACTTGAACTTATAAACTTAAATGAAACTTAGAAAGGCTGCCTTAGCAATAACTCAAATAAAATAAGTTGAAGTGCTAAAACTAAAACTAAAAAGAAATTTAAAAAATAAACCTGTTAAAAAATAAAGCTAAAAAATGACTAAAACTTAACACTGTATGACACTAAAACATCTGTAAAAATAAGATGAAATACTACATATTTTATATATTTTTCTTTCATCTTGCACTGTCCCTGTTTGCATTGCTCTGTATTCTGTATCTCTGCAATATGTTTGTACCGTGTAAATCCAAGTACGTCTAAGTTTTATGCAAAGTATTTATGTAAAGGATTTAGGTTAGCTATGTGTAGGTTTATATAGGTTGCACATTTTTTTACTGTTTATGTAGGCTATATGTTATATAGGTATATAAGTACAATACTTGGTAACTTATAAAGAAAGAGACTTTCCTATAGAATTCTCTGTGTAAACCAACCTTTTTTTATGTACAAAAGCTGTTTTTCTTTTTATGTTTCTTATTTTTTAGGTATCATTTATGTACACCGGAGTGTTTCAAGTTAAGTCAAGTCAAGTGAGCTTTATTGTCATTCTGCCATATGTGAAACATACAAAGGAACGAAATGTCATGCCTCACATGACCACAGTGCTACACATGTAAACATATATGAACAAACATGGGCATACACACATAAGACATTGAAAGGTATCTAAACATATAACCTATATAGATAACCTATACATAAGTATAGTATTTTCATTGTAAATGTATGGGGTTATTTATACCTTTTACTTCTACAAGTAAAAGCAAGCACCATTACTAATATTGTAAATCAAATACTTGAAATTGTGCATATCAAACATATGAAATGTTCCTGATTGCAGTTAATCATTATAATGTGATTTCCCAAACAGGCCTTCTACATGCATACAAAGTGCATACTAAATTTTAAGGCAAAATAGACAAATCCTGCTGCCAATACTTTTGTGAAATTAGTCAATTTTAGTGGAGCTTAGGTCGTAGTTGAATGGTGGTGGGCAGGATTGCTCAAATGTGCTCACAAATGCTCTCCTTCTGTCCATTTCCACAAGAAAACTTTCCATGGATCCATTTAGTTCCATTTTTTTTCTCAAATTTAATTTGTCTGAGTCTGGAACACATTACTAATGGCATTTCACTTCTAAAGCCACCAAGGCCAGTCTCACAAAGATCATTAGAAGGGCCAACAGTCCTACTTTTTCTCTTTCCCATTTTTTGCTGACAGAGACACTCACATGTTCTCTGTTCCATATTTGTCTGTAAGTTGAAGTATCCATTCACAAATATCAGCCGACCCACTCCAGCATATTTTGGCCAGGCTGTGAATAAACACTCCAGACCACACATTGCTTTCTTGGTCAGACAGGAAGCAACCAAGTGAGTTGAGAGGAAGTGAACAACCCCCGACTAAGCTACTCGTGCTGCACACTGAACCAGGAAGTGCTTTGGCTCTGATCACGAGCACACCCTTCCTTTTTTATACAACACCCTTCCGCTTTCAAAAGGGCTGCCCATAACCTTGTTAAGCGTCAACATTTCTTTAGCAATTAGAATGACAAAATGCCATTTCACCTGTTCTCCCCTTAAATTAAGTGATAGATTTGCCCCTATTAGTTCTGCTACTCATCTAAATGTTATTATTTATCAACAGACCAGACAATTTTATGAGCATAAATGCATAAATGCCATGTGTGTGCAAGTATGAGTGTATGCCTTCCACCCTCGCCTTTCCTGTGACTGTTGTCTGTACTTGAGGAAAAGGTGGGTCCACTCTCTGACCTCCACACACACACACGTACACACACGTAGCGTTTTTTCAATGAGACTTTCACTTTAACTCTATTGTAATGCCAGAATTACTAGATAGCTACAGCCACACCATCAAAATCCACCCACCCATATGAGACTGCATAGACCAGACTGGAACAAGCTGGAGGACCTTGGGACATGGGAACCCAATGTTAGAAGAACATTAGTGAGAAGAACATTAGTGAAGTGACATGTGGCCAAGTATGGTGACCCATACTCGGAATTAGTGCTCTGCATTTATCCCATCCAAAGTGTGAACACACACCCGGAGCAGTGGGCAGCCATTTTTTGCTGCGGCGCCCGGGGAGCAGTTGGGGGTTTGCTCAAGGCCTTGCTCAAGGGCACCTCAGTCGTGGTATTGAAGGTTAGGGTTAGGGTTAGGGTGGTTTTCATAAATTATGACACTGTGATATACTGTCAGGAAATAAGCAGTACAATAGAAACAAGTCCCTGAGAGAAGCAGCATTTGGTGAACACATTGTTTTCTGGGCTGGTGAGAGTTTCAGAGAAGTTTGTTTGTGGGATCAGAATCTTGTCTAAATGTAAGGATTCTTAATGCAAACTAAAACCTCCATTAAATGACTAAGCTATGTAAACTTCATGGACTTCTTCCAACAAAGCAGTATTGAGCAGTAGTGCTTTGAAACACATGCAACAGAATCCAGCGAGTTTAATTGGTTCAAGCAGGTCCAGCAATCTCAGTAATGACAGAATAGTGAGAAATCACTGGACATGGTGAAGACAACTGCTTCATGTTTAAGTTGTCAGCAAGTCTCACTTCTAATACACACCAAACATAACATACACCTATGTACTAGGCCTGTAAAAGAGTCTACTAAGGATTGCTCAGCATAAAGAGTCATTTAGTGTAGCTGAGGCATGTAAGCATGTGCCCTATTTTGATTCGGGAAAGGTTGAAATTGACATTTTACCACAATTATGCAATTTGTGATATCATAGAAAGAAGATACTGTATGTTACTAATGTAACGTAAAGCATTAATGCAACTACCATCTTTTTTTTCCCCAGCAGAGATATTTATACATGTGTTAAACGTTTAATACAGGATAGAGGGTATAATTATAAACAGCTTTATTACGCCACCTGCTGGACACACATCTTACACATAAGATAAATACATGCTTAAAAAAACAATCCTAACAAATGTTATCGAAAAACGTAACACTTCATGAAAGAAGAGCAACATTAGAGCAAGTTAAAAAAATAAAATTCCGCTGGCTCAGCAAATGAAGCCTAAATGTGAAATGTTCTTACTGTTAATAAATGTGGCCTGATCATTGTTATGCAGGAGGTTACAAAAAGTCCACGTGTCATTGCAATTTGCCAACAGTTATTTATAAAAACGCAAAGATATAAAATGCAACAAAACGCAAAGATCTCCAATCAATGAGTTGTGCGTGTGATCAGCTGTGGTCACGTGACGAGCACATTTTGTGATTTACGCAGCACATTGATAACATCAAAACAAAGCGACACGGTTCATCGGTCAGGACGTTCCCAGTGTGTCCTCACATTTTCACAAGTCAGTGTCCGATCAGAGACTGGCCCGCGTACTGGGTATTTCTGTCTATATAAATATTTCCTCTGGTCTGTGTGTTTAATGTAGTTATTACCATCGGTCAACGGAGGATTTGACTAAAAGTAAGTAGCGAATAATAAGTTATTAAAACATTAGGCCTACAGATATATGGGGCAACATAAACCACATTATAAACCAGTTTTGGTTTACATTACTCCGTTTTGTATTGGGATAATTTGCAATCATTATGACTGAGAACGGGGAATATTTTCCTTGTTAAGCTTCATATTGACATTTTGGAAAACAAATAAACCTGTAATTTGCATGCACACACATTGTGTTTTTCTGCACCAACTCGTTTCAAACAGTTCTTTATTTTTAAACAATGACATACGTCTTTTAAAACTATGAAACTATATTCCAGAAAACATTTGTGCGTATGTCTTAGGCCTAAATAAATGATCAGACGTTCAGTTGAATAAAATGAAAAGTAGCTTCTTATGCGTGTGTTTGTGTTTGTGAGAGAGACGAGGAGGACGCTCTATGCTTGTTTTCAATGTCCCTTAAATGAATGAATCTTTCTTTTGGTTCGAATCTTTTCAATGAACCCGTTCACAAAATGATTCGTTCACGACACGTAATGAGCAGAAACAGAACATTTGATGTTAACCGACATATGTTTACGATTTGATTATATCGTTTGATCACTACAAGTAAATATCGATATGGTCTAAGATTTTATTTTAACTTGCAAAACCCTTTTTTAGCATAAATAAATAAAATAATAATAAAAGTTTTGCTATTGTAATTGTTTAGGGTGGAAGGAAAAACGCTAGGACACATGAAACTCTAAAAACACTTTTAATAAGACAATTGATTAAAAAAAAACCTTAATAAACCGCAATACATGCCTGTACATATCTCAGGCTGGGTGTCAGGAGTCGGGTTATGACGCAATTACGTAACGACGTATAGCTGAATTGTTTTTTAATCAGCTCTTTGAAAACTACTCGAAGGAACCGTTTATGTTCAAGCATTTGTTTCCTGCACCTTAATCAAATAACCTAAATATAGTATTTATTAGCGCGTTTCACACATTGTTCTGGAAAGGGTTGTTGTTGTTTATTTTGTTTTTTTAAACAATTACATGCATGTTTTTAAACTGCTCCAGACACTATTCGTGCATATTGTCATAAATATGGCGAATGAGCGAACGATCGGTTACATATGTAATAGCTGAATTTTTGTTCATGTGTTTGTGTTTGAAAGAGATAAACACAGAGGGAGGAGGGTTGATGCATGTTTGTTTAAGCAGGAACCACATGACCATCTTGCTCGTAATGTGTTGTGTTTCTCTAATGGCAGTCAGCCATCTCGGCTCAGCTCAACAACCTTGCAAATTAGGGATTAATCATTCCGTACAGTGTTAACTGAAGCTTTCCACGAGATCTGACGACGTTATAAGCGCCAGCAATGCCAGGTACGATATTTGCACGGTTTTCGATCTGTCTTTAGCTTTCACTGTTTTCTCGGTGTGTGTGTGT